CGGACCGACCTGGACACAGAGGCTGGGTGAGCTGTTAGCAGCCCTAACCCTGCACTCCTGTCACCTGAGACCCTGCAGAGCCCTGGTGAGACCACCTGTATCCCTGGTGAGACTGCCTGTATCCCTGGTGAGATCGCCCACACCCCCATATTATCTATCATGGGAAAGAACTGCTGAGTGTCTGCCTGCTGGGAGCTGTAGTCCCAGGAGGCAATGTCGGCACCTTGTTGGTTAACGGGCCCCCCAAGTGGTGGAACGTCAGGGCCCAGTCACAACTGCGACTCTGGTAGTTCCACCACTTGGGGGTGCCCAGACAGGAGGAATAGGACCCCGTTAACAACCTCAGCTCCCAGCATGCAGCGGACCAACTCTACGCAGCTCCTTCCCATGGGGGTTGGGGGGGCCTTCATGGTTTCTTGCATCGGGGCCCTGAAGTTTCTAATTTTTCTTGTTATGCCTCTGGCCCCAGCATTGCCGATCCAGCGGCTTCGGAGCAGGCTGGGACCCCATCAGCGCCACCACTGCTCTGATCTTGGACCGGCCGGAAGTGACATCGGGCCACTTCCAGCCAGTCCGGCGGCAGAGGCCAGGTGTGCAGGAACCAGGAGCAGGTAAGAGGAGCTGGGAGGGAGATGCAGCCCTGAACCAGTCCACCACAGAGAGTCTCAGATGGGCTGTGTAGCATCTATGGTGGGCTCTGCAGGATCACTCTCAGGTGGGTCCTGTGTCCAGTGGGTCACTAAGCCCAGAGTCCATCGGGTCACTAAGTCCAGAGTCCATCGGGTCACTAAGCCCAGAGTGCAGCGGGTCACTAAGCCCAGAGTCCAGCGGGTCACTAAGCCTAGAGTCCAGCAGGTCACTAAGCCCAGAGTCCAGCGGGTCACTAAGCCCAGAGTCCAGCGGGTCACTAAGCCCAGAGTCCAGCGGGTCACTAAGCCCTGAGTCCATCGGGTCACTAAGCCCTGAGTCCTTCGGGTCACTAAGCCCAGAGTCCAGAACGTCACTAAGCCCAGAGTCCAGAACGTCACAAAGCCCAGAGTCCAGAACGTCACTAAGCCCAGAGTCCAGCGGGTCACTAAGCCCTGAGTCCAGCGCGTCACTAAGCCCAGAGTCCAAATAATATACTGTTCTGCATTGCTGTATAAATGTATTGCTGGGATTTGTAGTCCAGCTGGTGCCATTCTGCATTAGAGTGTAAGCTCCTCTGTACAGACACTGATGTGACTGGCTCAGTGTTCTCTGTACAGCACTGTGGTATATGTCAGAGCTATATAAATGTATAATAATAATAGTGTGACTGAGGGGGGACACTAGAGTGTAAACTCCTCTGCACAGAGACTGGTGTGGCTGGCTCAGTGTTCTATGTACAGCACTGTGGTATATATCATAGCTATATAAATGTATAATAATAACTAGGGATGCACCAATACCGAGTATTTGGGCAAGTACTCTCCCAAATGCTCCGATGTCTAGCCCGATACTTAAGCTTCAGACATCAGGAAGCCGGGCAGTGAGTCATTACACGGCGCTCGGTTTCCTGTTTAGCCAGAAAGCTGGCTCCATGCTTTCTCGCCACCTAGTGACAAGAAGCATGAGGACGGCCTCCCTACTAATCGGGAAGCCAGGTGGTGAGTCATTACACGCCGCCCGGCTTCCTTAATGGGACTTCCGATTTCGGGTTTGGACGAGTACCGGAAAAAAAACGGTATTGGTGTGTGGACACACACACACATTAGAGTGTATGCTCCTCTGTCAGAAACTGATGTGACTAGCTCAGTGTGGGGGGCGGTGATGCGGGGGGGCCCGGCCTAAAGCCGTATAAGGGGCCCCAAAACTTCTGATGCCCTTCTGCCCTGACCAGACCCACTGTTACCTAACCTATACAATTGAGCTTAGGATCTATTGTCAGTAAGTATTGCAGTTAAATTAAAATGTGTGATTCAATATTCCACCGAATCCCAATTAATCATAATATACATACATGTTACATGTTATCAGATGTTCAAGTTAGTCTATTTCCATGTATGCTCTACAATATATTGTGCTATTCTATGGCACATTCTATGGCAACATATCACTATTATTGCCTTTTCTCTTGATTTCGTGTTGCCTTTGATTTTAATTGTTGTTTTTACTTTTCCATATTTTTAGAAATAATTATTTAACTTATTTATTATGCTCACTATAGCCCCCAAAATGGGTTGCATTTTATAATTTTTTTTCAGAGCAAAAATCAAACTTTCTTTATCATCAACTAAGGGATAGGGCATATCATATTCATAAACCATGGGTTATACTGCTTCCTAAAAGGAGGATTTTTTTCCTCTTTATTCAACAGCTACTGGTAGATTCAGGCCAGGTGCTAAATCCTGAAAGTCTCTACCAGGGGCGGATTAACAACACATGGGTCCCCCGGGCAATACAAGATTATGGGGCCCCCTTGTGCTCCACCCATATACAAGCCCCATCCACAAGCCCCATCCACAAGCCCCACGTGCATAAATATTTTTGTGTTACAAAAATTATTTCTCCACACTATTTTTAAAATAGTGGGCCAATTCACTAAAAGATGAATTGCCGGGGAACTGATAGGAGAATTTGAAAATATAGATAAATATAGGCAATTTGGAAAGTGAGCAGAATTCACAGCAGACCTCAGACCAGCACCAATACAGGGCAGACCTCAGACCAGCACCATTACACAGCAGACCTCAGACCAGCACCAATACATGCCAGAACCCAGACCAGCAGCAACACACGGCAGACCTTAGACCAGCACCAATACACGGCGGACCTCAGACCAGAAACAATACATGGCAGACCTCAGACCAGAACCAATACATGGCAGACCTGCAGACCATACACTGCTAACCTGCTGAGGTTCTACGCAGAGGCAGATGCGGAAGTCTCGCCAGGGGCAGATGCGGAGGTCTCAACAGGACCCCCAAGTGTCAGTGTGTCATTGTTCTGGGCCCCCAAGTGTCAGTGTGTCATTGTCCAAGTACCCCCAAATCCCAATACCTCCGATAGGGTTGTTTGGTAAAACATGTGAAGCACATCCAAATATATAATGCACCTAAAATGTACTGTATCTAAAACAGAGCAGTGAATGTGAAAAAGGAGTGAGGGCCCAGTCACACCATAATGAGTGTGTTCCAGAGTGTTCGGCCTCTGGAACGCAACCCAGGCAGCTCACTTTGTTTTGGGGCTACCTCGGAGGTACCAAGCAGAATAGCCGAGCCGAATGCCACTATTCACTTACTGCAGTTCGGCCCCCATGAGAATAGGGGAGAACGGCAGCGAGTGAGCTGCCAGAGCTTCAAATCAGCTGATCCTGATGTTGGCTTGGCTGAGTGGAACTCCATCTGCACTTCGGGTCAGCCGAACTTCGGCTCGGTTATTCACACGGCTGCCTTTGTTGTGGTTTTTTTGTGTGTTTGTAGCGCCAAATAAAACAAATTAAAAAAAAAAGCTTTGTACCAGAAACATGATTCTAGTGCCTTTATAAAAAAAAGAGACAGATCGCAAAATAAAATGTGTAGCTTAAACGAGGGCTCAACAAATCCCAGGTTCGAGGTCGCCATGGTGACTAGAAATTGCGTCCTGGAGTCTGGGCTTTTGTCACCCCATTCCCTGTCCCCAGCCACCACCTCTGCCACTGAATCAGCTCTGCTCCTCCTGTTCTGCTCCCTGCTGGGAGCCTGCTGCATGCTGCGTTCTGTGGCCCCTTCGATCCCTGCCTGTATCAGTAAAGGAAGCAGGGATCCAAGGGGACACAAACCGCTGCAGCTGGTGCCCAGCGGAGAGCAGAGATTGTTGTCAGCTGCTGTGATCCTCCTGTGCCCTCCATGCCCTCTCTTCACCTCATGTCACATTGGAGATCACAAGTTCTCTTTAGGGTGACATTTAGGGTTTATTAGATCTTTCCACTTAAATAGCTTTAGCTCGGGAATGACAGCTGCTTGCTGTTGCAGCTGAATGTGAACACAGCAGGCAGTGGCTAGGAGTAGAACCAGCCTGCTATTGGCTATTTTAAATAGCAGGATCCATTAGCAGGCTGACTATTTTACCCACCCACATACTGACTGTCAATCAGCAGAGGAGTGGGTGGGTGAACCTGAAGGAGAACTTTATCATAAGTTCTTTCCTCTGCTGATTGACAGTCAGGTAGTGGATGGGTAAATGGGTAAAATAGCCAGCCTGCTAATGGCTACTGCAATTTAAAATAGCCAATAGCAGGCTGGTTATTGCCCCTAGCCAGTGCCTGCTGTGTTTACATTCAGCTGCCTCAGCAAGCAGCTGTAATTCCCCAGCTAAAGCTATTGAAGTGGAAAGGTCTAATAGACCCCTAATGTCACCTTAAAAAGAACCTGTCATCTCCAATGTGCTATCACATAGTGGACTTGTAAGCCCCCCCAAGTGATAACAATGAAGTTAAGTAAAAAAAAAAAAAGTTTGATAAAATAAAAAAATATCAAAAATAAATTAAAGTCCCCATGAACGTGCACATTCTAACGGAAAAACAAGTCGGGTGCACACACATACGAAAGCAACGATTGCACTACACATGTCAAGTATCGCCACCACGTGCACAAATTAAAACTTTAATTCAAAATTACGACCAAAAAATTGTAGTTAACCCTTTTTTATATTCTTAACTTCTCCATTCCCTTCCCTTAGCTTCTTTTTTACCATTTAATTTCATTTTAGTTTTAGTAGTGCCAAACTGAGGAGCTTGGGGAGGGGGGCACCTTGAGTGCCAGAGTACCTTTTCCAGGCACTGCTTGGCACTGTACAGAAATGAGAAGGGTTGCAGTGCATTGCTTTAAACATGCACAAACAATATATTTCCTACTTGCAAGAAAAATATAAGGTGGTAATGGATGCAGCATCTCACTTTTACAATCTTTGCATCCTTGAGGAGTGTATCCCTGTACTATTCTTGCATCTGAAGGAGTTATCCTACTAAATGGTCAGTATCTTATTTTGTTTTCTTATAGGATTGACGACATTCAGCTGTGCAAAGAAATTATGAGCCTGAAACAAGATTTGCAGACCTCAGTAGATGTTCCTGGTAAGTGCTAACATTTGCCATAAAATGTAAACTATGAAATCAGGGACGTTACTAGGATATTAAAAGACCTGGGGTACAAAGAGAGAGGTAAATCTGCAAACTGTGAGCATGGTGAAATTGCACCTTCAGTGGAGTGGCTTAACTGAACTCTGGCTTGTAAGGTGCATGGAGGCTGCCAATGCTGAACTCTCAGTTTGAGAGTGCTTTTTTCTAGCTGTCATTCTGAAGCTTTGACTTCAGTGCTTTCTAAGTGTTTGGCCTGGAAAAGGTATACTAATTCTGACACATTTCTGTCACTCATTTACAGCATTGCTTTTTCTATGTCTGTGTCTAAAAAGACAAAACCAGGCAACTAGCAATTTTTCCAGGAGGCCAGCAATGGAAGCCTCTTACTTCCCTTGTGACAGTGTTACTTTAGAAAATGACTTAATTACAGTCTCTCAGGATGCATAATCCTTAACACAAATAATTATTTTTCATTCAATACATTTTTATTAAAAATGTACAAAAGTACAGAATCCGTTGTACAACAAGATATATTATAATAGTGGAATTGGAGTAAAAGGAATACAATCTGATCGGGTTAGTGATGTAATACTTCCAAGGAAAAAGTAACAATCATCAGGCTATAGACAGGACAGAGATCATAGAGTCAAATATAAATAGCATATTGATCTTCTCCAAACATAGAGAGCAAACAAAGTTCCAGGTTTTAAAGAAAATAAATCACTGTTATCGGATTGAAAGATAAAAAGAAGGGAGAGGAAAATAGAGAAAATAGGAAAAGCGGGAAGAGGAAAGGAGAAGGGAAAAGAACAAATAGGGAAAGGGGAGAAAGAACCAGTTCCCAAGAAGCAATATCGTCATGAAGTCACATTGATGTATGTATCCAGGAAAGAGACAATTCCTCAGGTCGTTATTAGGCCAGCATCAAACTGAGGCGGAAGACATTTTCTGATCTAGGGGTCCAAATTTGTGCATAGTATTGTGAAGTTTAGCTGACAATTTTTCGTACACAAATACTGTGTGTAGACGAGATTTAGTTTCAGGAAAGTGTAGAGAGGGGTATAACCAGGCTTTGGCAATTGTTTGCTTAGCCTCGATGAGAACATGTGCCATTAAAGTAAATTGGGTTTTATGGCTACTGCTGGTTGGAACCGGGGGGAATGTTGGATGAGGGATCGAATAAAAGCAAAACTTTTGTGCCAAAAATGTTGTGCAATCGGGTATGTCCACCAAATGTGAAGCATAGTTCCCAGGTCATTGCAGTAGTGAAAGGAATTAGGGGATGTAGAGGAGAAGATGCGGGCAAGTCTAGAGGGAACATAGTACCAGGGTAATAAAACCTTATAGTTGGTTTCCACTGCCGCCACGCATTGAGAGGAGGTCCTGATCGTGGCCCAAATTTGTAGCCATTGATCTGCATCCAATGTTATACCAAGATCATGTGTTCATTGAGACATGTAGGAGTGGGTAGGGTGGGTAGAAGGGAAGTGTAGAGTAGAGAGATTACCCCCCCTAGCATTCGGAGAGTCTAAGCAAATATGTTCAAATGGAGTGAGAGGAGTCCAAATGGGATTAGGGCCTAGCACTGAAGTTAAAAAGTTACGACTTAGCGGAAGATGTCAGCGATCATAAGGTTATGTTTAGCCTGTAGAGGAGAAAGGTACAATACCTTTTGGGGTCGAGGAGAGTATAAATTTGTGTTATGTTCTTAGAGGACCATCGAGAGAAACAAGAGAAAGCCACAAGGGAACCTCAGTAGTGGCATGATATTTAGTAAGAGGGGCAATCTGTGCTGCTCGGTAATATTGACATAGGTTAGGAACCCCTGAACCTCCCGAAAGTCTAGGAAAAAAACATAGTATGTCTAGGGATATGTGGTTTGTGACCTGCCCAAATGAAGTGCATCACTTGTCTTTGTAAAATGCACATGGGAGGGGAGTGGAAGAGGGAGGACTCTAAAGAAATAGAACAGTTTTGGAAGAAAGGTCATTTTAATGGCCGCTATACATCCTAGTAAAGAAAGGGGGAAATGAGACCAGGTAGAGAGAAGAGAGCGTATGTGTGTAAATAGTGGAGGATGATTAGCCGAATACAACGATTCATAGGAAGAAGTAAGGTGAACACCCAGGTAAGGCAGTGCGGAGTAAGCCCACGGGAAAGAAAAAGATGATTGTAATTGTTGGACAATTGACGTCGGGAGCAAAATATTAAGGGCTTTAGATTTAGCTAAAGTCACAGAGGGTCCCGACAAGGTATTAAAGAAAGAGAGAACTGTGAAGAGGTTAGGTGGTGAATAAGAGGTTGAGATAAGGAGAGGAGGATATCATCTGCGAACAGATTCAACTTATGGTGGTGGCCAGGTACAAGAATTCAAGAGATACCAGAATGATTATGAATCTGCAGAGCAAGAGGTTCGATGGCTATTGTGAATAGTAGTGGGGAAAGAGGGCATCCCTGTCTAGTTCCTCTATTTATAGGAAAGGGGGAGGATTTAAATCTGGCATAATGTGCTAGCAGTAGGATAACAGTAGAGGGAAGAGATCCACTTACAAAATGAGGGACCAAATCCCCAGCGTTCTAATATGGAAAAAAGATAAGGTCACAAAAGGGAATCAAAAGTTTTCTACATCCAAAGAACGGAACATAGAGGGGGTACCCCGAGTGCGTGCTAGATGGGAGAGGAGAGTTGCTCTGCATATACCGTCAGTGGCCTGACGAAGTGGAATAAATCCAACTTTTTTTTTCTTTTTTTTAAAGATGCTTTTTATCATTACCCAGTGACATAGAAACAAAGAAACCAAAAAAAAGGGGGGAAGGGAATGATATTACAGTCTCAGTACAAAAGGAAGATTACAGTCTCATTACAGAAAGACAATGTAAGATTAGCATCATCGTACAGTGTACAAATAGAATCAGCAAGGTAAACTAGAACTCCTAGGTATTAGTCTGGGTTACAGGGTACAATCATGGAGGATCAGAAGGCTGGTACGCGCCTTGCAAAACTGCTGTATTCTCATTCTCTAATAGACATATGGAGGGAAATGAACCCTGCGGTGAAAGACTACACGCATTTTTCCTCAGCACATCATAGTTATGCTAGGATAGATCACTTCTTTGTCTCCGCTTCTCTTGTGCCTCTGGTTGCCTCCTCCACCATTAGGGAGACGGCATGGTCAGACCACTCTTTGGTGTTGATGGGACTCACTACACTATCACTAGCTGCTAAACCTTTTTGTTGGCGTTTGAACAAATCTCTGTTGGGGGAGGCTGCAGTACAGGGTGAGGTCCATTCACACTTGGAATACTATTTTGTTATCAATGCCACACCTGATATGTCCCCTACTATTGTATGGGCGGCCCATAAGGCGACAATTTGAGGCCGACTAATGGAATTGGCTACCAGAATAAAGAAGAGGGCAACCAGACGCATAAATGAACTGGACACGGAACTTCAAAGTTTATCTCGGGCTCATAAGCAGACTCCGTCATTAGATCTTTTGAAATCCCTGGATAAAACTAGATTAGAATTGGAATTGAACTTGTTACTAACTACTAAAGCTGAAAAAAGTATTCGATGGTCAGATAACAAATACTATGTCCATAAAGACAAAATTGGTACCCTCTTAGCCACTAAACTATCCCCTAAACCTAGAGTTTACACGTTCCCTAAAATTCGATGTACCTCTGGTGCAGTACCTGAACGTTAGCCAGAGACGCCCCTGTAAATAACATTTTGGAGAGATTCAATAGAAGTAAGTATAGTCGCTTCAGTTGCCGTATAGGCGTTTCCCACCTGGGGGAGAAGCGAATTATGGATTAATATCAGCTGGGTGGCCAAATAGTACACATGGAATCAGATCAGTCATTCACTCGGCTGCCCTCGGCAGCTTAGTGAATAGACCCCTAAGAGTAGAAACCAAGATCGGAGCTAGGAGGTCAGAAATCTTTGTCTATAACAAAGATCAGGAAAACCCCCTGAGACCCGCCTGCTTGTGAGTTTTGAGGGATTTTATGGCGGAAAAAACCTCTGAATCTGTAATAGGATCTTCAAGGAGTTGCTTGATGTCATCTGGAATCTGTGGAAGGAAAGGGAGGAGAACAGATTGTCTGCAGATTCTTTTTGAGAAGGGGTGGTCTGGAGTATAGAGTTGTTCTAAGTGTTTTCCAAATTCATTAACAATTTTGGATGGATTATTGGTCAAGGAACCTTGGGAGGTCCATAAGGTCAATGGACGTCTCGTTGGGTCTAGATTACGGAGACAAGTTGCTAACATTGTTTCAGGTTTATTAGCATGCAAATAAAAATGATGTTTTGTGTTACGCAGTATGTTGTCAGTTTTGTATGTTAATAACAGGTTCAAGTCTCGACATGCCCCCTCAAGTCGACGGCAGTTAGCAGGAGAAGGGGAGAGGGAAAAATCTGCCGAAGCCATAGTGAAAGCGACTTCTAGGATTTTTTGTTTCTGTAATCGTTCTCGTTTGAATTTAAAGGATAGCCCTATGCATTTTCCTCTAATTACCGCCTTGTGGGCTTCCCAAAGCATTACTGGGGAAATGTCTGGTGTGGAATTAGTGGCTATGTAGTCCAAGATAGCTGATCATTTCTTTCATATGCCTGGCATTCTCTGCATTAGAAAATAATTGCTCCTTATACCTTGAAAGAACAAAGCAAAACAACATTGATGAATTATATATAATTAAGGATACTGTTCTTCCTGTGCATTAAGAAAAATAGACAAATCAAAGCACTTTTAAATAAAAACAATTAAAGTTAAAAATTATAATAACTCCCTAACATTTTAGTTTTTCTATTTCGTTATGGGAAAATGAATGCTTATGTTATTAATTATAATTAATTGAATACAGTAGCTAAAAATTAAACTTACCTTGGATCAAGTGAAGTTGCTATGCCATAAAGAGGGTTTTGCTCTGCCAGTTAAGCGCCTCTACAAAGCGGCAAGTAAAGTGCTCCTCATCATTTTGATAACTTGGTC